AGCCATTCTTCGAACACTGCATTGTATGTTTCAAATTTATCTTTCAACATGAGCTTCTTTGTCGCGGAAATCAATCGCTTTTCAGCAACTTCTCTGTTACTTGATAAAGCTTCTTTATCGTTGATCCAAGGTAAACTGACTTCATAGCGATCATCCTCCCTCTTCAGAGTCTTGTGAAAGGGATCCCACACTGCTTCTTCTGAGTCAGTTTTACTTTCTTTGGCATCTGTAATTCTCAGTGCTTCTAGCTTCCACAAGTTTTCTATGTCACTGCTGTGAGTCAACATCGACGTTACGGTTGAAGACATGGACAAGGAGTTTCTTTCTGAAACGTCATCTTTTATCTTTCCCATGATTGTCCATCCAAGTAGTGATTCGACAGCAGTCAGCCCATTTTCTAATTTCTGAATTCTTCCGGTTAACAGAACACCTGCGCCATCAGCTCCAATAAGAACTTCTATTTTCAAATCCTTTTTACCTACATCAGATGCATGGATATTCTTCTGTCTTAGTTCTTCTATCCATGGTCCAGGCTATAAACTGACTACTGGTCCACAAATCTTCGACTGTTTCAACAAGATTAGTTGACTAGAAAAATCACCTCTTAGGCTTTTAACGTTCACTTCATAGCGTTTGTGAATTTCCTCTCTTTGTTGTTACTCCTCCAAAAAGTGCATGGATTAAAGATACAGATCCAATAGCGTGGCACCCTATGTCTACAGCAGTCTTCTTTAATATGTATGAACGTTGCGATCCTGTATCGATAAGTGCCCTTACTGTCTTCTGCTTTTTGTTTGCGTCTTCTATATTAATTAATAGTGTTTGAAGAAGAAACACTTCATCTAGGAAATTAGTGCTCGCAAGTGATACGTTTTGTGTTTCCTCTTCTTTATTCTTTTCAACATCATTGCTCTTTTGATTGGTGGGCAAATCCGGACACATGACACCCCAATGTCTTTTCGAGCATATCATACATCGTACATTTGTCTTACATTGCTTGGCCCTGTGTCCAATTTTAAGGCAGAAGAAGCAACCCTTCTTTTTCTTAATTTCATCATTCTTTTGACACAGAGGCCTCTTCTGAGCAACAAAGCAATCTCGACTTTCATGAAATTTTTCACAAAATATGCAAGAATTCTTCTCACTATAATTGGTTGTTTTATTTTGACCTGAGAAAAAATCATTTGCTGTAGGCACGAAATGTTCACTGTGGTACTTTTTATCTTTTATACTTTCTTTCTTGGCACCCGAATCAATTAATTTAAATCCAGCTTTTGCCAAAGAAATTCTCTGCTCTCCTTCCACTTCATTCTTTAAAAACAATAATAATTGTTTCAATTTATCAGAGAATTTTCTGCACTAATTATTGATGCATAATTTCTGATCCAAACTCGTAAAATTTCCTCGGGAATGCAAGATTCCACGAGCGGAAACAGCATTGCAGCACTTGTCATTCCTATTGACTCCAACGAACGTAAATACGACTCTAACTTGTAATACAATTCTGATATAATGCATTTTCCCTTTTGATCAGTGACATTTTTAATAATCAAACCTAATAATTCCCGAATATAGAATTCTACCAACAATTCTTCCCCGCCGAACCTATTTTTTAAGCTTTCTATAACTTTTTCATAATTTTCGGCAGTTGCAGGGAAGCTATTTACAGTATCTCGTGGTCTCGTACCGGGTACGGTCGCTTGAACGAGATAATGCATCTCTTATCCTCGTTTTGAATTTCTTTATCTTTATGTATTCGCCGAAATTGCCCCCGAAACGGTAACCAATCTTTAATTTTGCCACCGAATTGTTTTAACTCAATTTTAGGTAATTTCAGTTTCCGTTTGTTCGAATTCGGCGGAACACTGACTATGGATAGTGTCGTTTGGCGATTGAAGAATAATTCCGTTTCTACTTGTATTAAGTCTAATTTTTCTTTGTATTCTTCAATTTTCGCCCATTCACTTTCAAACTTATCATTTGAAGAAAATTCCGAATTTAATATTTGAGTATCAAATGCATCAAGTTCAACAGATAAACGTTCTAAAGTAACAAGTTTCGTTTTTACAGATTTTACATCAGGAATTTCCTTTTCTAATTCTTGCAAAATTGCATTAATTGTTCTCGTAAAAGACGCTCTGACAGGTTTTCGTTTCTCAATTAACGATTCCATTTCAATAAAATAAATTCAATAAAGTCAAATAGAATTAAATTCGATAAAACTAACAAAATTACCTTAACTTGTTTTACCGATCACTTCCGTCGTCACCAAAATTGTTCGAGTTTTGCAAGAACTAACCGTTCTCCTTTCTCCTAATAAACTTAAAATAAAATAACTTTACATATAAAATTCTACAGCGTCATATTTATTTTTAAAATCTATAGAACTACAAGAAACTACAAAAAGATCAGATCGTTGCCACTCTTACAGTGATAAACTATGAAAAGAAAATAACAACTGAGGCTGGGTTCTAACACTGTGTATTTTTTATTTAACAATACGTTTGGTAGTCTTATCCGTACGAAAGATAGTAGCCTTAATCCGTACATTGTAGGGCGACCATAAGTCGTGACGTCTTGTCGTTGACTAGAGTTACTAGAGATACTTTTATAATAGAATTATCGTTCACATTTTCTTGGCTTAATTTTTGTGACATCATGCTTAGGGGCGAATTCAAGCGCAACGCTCTGGCAATTTGCAAATTGCGGCTGGCAAGAGGCGTTCCTGCTATCGCCTGGTAAAACCGAATTCAAGTGCAACGCTTTACCGGTATGGCAACTGATGACGTCAAAATTGCAATCGAAAGCCATCTAGTGTTCGTGCCAGGAGAGAATAGCCGATGAACTACGTCAGTTATCCAATGAGATTGCGTTTCGATGTAAACACCAATCATCCGTTCCCATAGTTCCTTTTAGCTTTGTTCCCATAGTACCTTTTAACCACGTTTTTTTGCGTTCGATACTGTATGTAGATTTGTGTGTTTTTTCAAAATGCAACAATCTATAAATTTTTCTATGAAAGAGTTGGAAGTTTTGGTAACTTCCCTAGAAAGTTATAAAGAACTCATTACCGGTGAGTTGGGCAAATCATATGCCAGTGTAAACGAACAAAAGGAGGCATGGGAATAAATAGCAACGATTTTAAACTCCGTAGCGTTAGGAGTGAAGAGAAACGGAATTCAAGTCAAAAATAAGTGTACAGACTTGAAATGCCGCACCAGAAAAAAAGCGGCAAGGATTAGAAATAACTATTTTTCTACAGGAGGGTGACCTCCTGCCAAAGAAAAACTAACTGCTTTTGAAGAAAAGGTTTTATCACTGATAGGCAGTACATGTGTGGAGGGTATTACCCCCATAAATTATGATATATGAGCACAGTCTGTAATCAGTGTAAGTATCTATAATATGGTAAACTTTTCTGCAAAAAATCTGCATTACTGCCTTTTCTTGTTGAAGCAAAACTCCTCTTCGTATTTCTTCTTAAGAAAAAAGTTAACTTGCTCAAAATTATGTTTCACTTAATTATTCCTTGGAGTTTTAATAGTAAATCAACTGTTATTGCTCATTGTAATAAATTGTATGTGTTAAAATATACCTGTATGTTTTGTGTTTTTCTTCCTACATCATATGAATATGAATCAGTTCTCATTAACAAATGTAATAATGTTATTACCTTATAATAGTATGGATAATGAATTAGAGTGATGATTTTTATAAAAATAACATTAAAATATAGCACTCTTCTGTTATCAGGACCAGATTCAGAAATGTATGGCTCATCAGTTGCTGAGCGGAAAAGTCGTTGAACACTGGTAGTTTAGTCTGAGGTTCAATTCAGCAAATGGGCTGGCTGCATGGACGTTTTCATGGTTTCCACTATGTGTAACATGTATACGAACCAGTTTCCGTAGAAAGTTCTTCACGAAGGCATTCCTCCCCTTAGGCAGATAGCCTCGAAGCTTTGTCGTAATCACATAAACAAAAACAGAAATGTATGGCTATATGTGTTTAGGGTGTATGTTCATACACACGCATGCATATGTACATATATGTGGGATGAGGTAAGGATTAAAATAGAGGAAGGCAGTGGCATTTTAAAGGTATTTAATGACGAAAGAATAAACATGATTATGGTATGTACAGAGTGAAAGGAAGTAAGATAAAAAGTTTGATTCATCATGAAACAGAATCACATCATCGTCGTCGAGCGGCACAGCTCAGCTACATCCATCACCGTGTCTTCACCTCATCGGAATGGAAGTCTGTCCATTTCCTCACGCAGCTTGAAGAAGTATCTTGCTGCTGTAGCTGTTGTCAGATTTAAGAAAAGACGGATGAGTTGTAGAAGCGAATGCCCACACGGCCATTCTGCCTTGCCGGGCGTCCTCGCCTGGGGGTTGATCTGAAAAGAAAGAAAAAACAAAACAAAAAGCAGAAAAAGTGAAAGAAGAAAAAAAAATCAATGTCCAGGTGGCGAATGTTAGCTTTGTGCACCACCAGTTCATCTTATCAGCACAGGTTGACATCATAATGGTGTCGTCATGGCTTATCTTTCGTACTTCGTAATAATCAGAGGGATGAACTGTCTCATAAAGACCGAGGAATTTGGGACGAAGTTTAAGTCCAAGTTTCAGCTCAAGTCGAAGATTCCGTCCAAGTTTGTATTTGCAGGCAGGTTTGCGACGTTTCTTATACTGTCGTATATGTGCTTGCTGTAAACGGAGGAGGTTCCGTTGAGCTTCAATGTATAATGCAGCCTTTTCATCATCATGCTGTGTCATCAATTTCATTGTCTTTGGAGTTCGTTTAAATTTTCTTCGTTTATACTTCCAGGCTCTCTTGCGTTCCTTTGGGTGTGAAGCGGATAAAGTGTATGAAATTGTAATTTTTCTTCCAAATATTTCAGCATTCTTTGTTGCCTAAAAAGCTTCAACTGGAATGTCAGAGACAAGTTGTTTCCTTAGATTATTTTTCTGTTCTTTGGGAGTTTCTGCACTTTTAGCAGGTGTTTTCTCGTTTGCTTGATCAGCTCATGCTTGTTCAAACCAATTCAGTTTATTTTTCACAGTTTCTTCAGTATTCTGCACGTTTGGATCATTAACGAGATCATCATAATCATTAGCTTCATGACTGTCATCAGCATCATCGTCGTTGTCATCAACATCATCTTCATTGACATGATCTTCATCAACAACAGCAACGTCATCTTGATCAACATGATTAACATCATCTTCATTAGCTTCATGAGTGCCATCATCATCATCAGCAGCACCATTAGCGTCATGATTGTCGTCATCATCAATATCATGATCTTGATCCATGTCGTCGTCTGCGCCATCATAATCTTCATCAACATCATCGTCATGAGCTCCATGATTGGTATCAGCATCATCTTTGTCATCATGATCATCCAAATTCAAAGTGTCATCATCTAAATCCAATTCTGAATCGTCATGTGCATCATCATTATCATTTTCCTTAACTGTTTTCTTCAACTGAATTTCATTTTCTGTTATTTTCTGAAAATTTTCCATAGCAGTGTTAACTTCGTGTGGTTTGTGAGGTGTAATGATATGTTGAACTTCCTCACGAATTTCAGATTTTGAGATGTGTGAAAGATCAGGTGTAAATATGTCATCATGAGTAACATTAGCAACATTAACAAAAATTTGATCATTATTATTGTTACATAGATGAATACCATCTTTACCAAATGTAAATCGAGTTTGTTGCAAAAAGTCTATTCCAATAATGGCATCAAGAGGAATCATATAGTCTTTTACTACATGGATTTTAGCAGGTAAAATAGTGTTTTGAATTTGAATGTAGTCCTGAAAGAATCCAATACTTTGAACTGTGTCTCGGCCAAGTCCTGAAAATGTAATTCTGGAAGGATGCAGTGTAATGGTGGAGAACCAATTTTGCGGTATGTTTTTTTCTCCGTTAATTAAGTGTTGCTTGTGATCCAGTGTCATAGAGAGCAGTTAACTGAAGTTCCTTTAAGTTGAATATCAACATGCATAGGATTTTTAGAAAAATTTTGAGCAGAAAGTGCATTTTTACAGTACTATCAGATGTAGAACAATTAGGAGCAGATTCCGTGGTAGAACTACCAGAACGTTTGGGACAGTTGGAATGAACGTGACCATAATTTTGGCAGCCATAACAAAATTTGCCATTAGATTTATTTAGGACAAGTATTGCTTTTATGTGGCCTTTTCAAACCACAGGAATAACATACTGGTTGAGTGTCTGATGTACGTTTAACATCAATTTTAACATTGGGAAAAGGAATTTGTAAATTTCTTTGGAGTATTTTGCTTCATTTTGCTTCAAATGTTTTGAATTGTTAAAGAGTTTTTCATAAATCATCAGTTTTTCTTAAAATTCAGGAATGGATTTACAACAGTATAAAATTATTTTATTGTTTGATGAATCAGGAATACCGTGTATAACATAATCAATCAAAGAAGAATCATCCATAGAACCTTTGTATGCGAGGTCTCTCATAGCTAAAAAATATTCTTGTAAGGTTTCAAATGGTTTCATGTGACGAGATTCCATTATTTTATGTAATTGAAGGCTATTAATTTTTAAAAATTCATCTAATAAATGGTATTTTAATCGTTCCCAATTAGTAATTCCACGA